AGTCGTCGACATCGAGATCCAGCTCGAGCGCGGCCCCAGCTCGGCGGCGAGCGAAGGGGGGGAAGCGAGAAGGAGGAAGCCTTCTCTCAGAAGGCGGCGGGACTTCCTTCAGGAGCCCCGCGCGCCTTCCGAGGAGTCTTTTCTCTGTGCCTTCGGGGAAGGCTCAGAATGCTTCTCGGAAGGCCGGGGGACTCCGAGTCTGCTGAGAAGGCCTACCCCTCCCAGACATCGGGCTGCTCCAATTTTTTCGGTGCGCGGGCCCCAGAAATCCGGACCACTGCCCTGGGGCCAGTTCATCGTCCCGAGTTGTTTCTTCACGCTCCCCAGGCCCGGCGAGGGCCCCCAGAGGCCCAACACTGCCCACATCCCGCAACTCCAATGTTCCCAACCATCCTGTCGTGTTGGGTCCTCGTTTGAAAAGACAACGCCCCGCGTCCATCCTTCTTCCTTCCTCCTCCCCCTCCTCCCTCCTCCCCCTCCTCCTGCCCGCGCGCGGTTCCTCCACCCAGGGCAGCGTTCCGTAGCCCCATAGGGAGCTCCACCGAAGGCCCCAGTGGGGGTGTCCACATGCGGTTCCCCCACCCAGGGCAGCGCTTCGTAGCCCCATAGGGAGCTCCACCGAAGGCCCCAGTGGGGGTGTCCCATGCGGTTCCCCCACCCAGGGCAGCGCTTCGTAGCCTCATAGGGAGCTCCACCGAAGGCCCCAGTGGGATGTCCACATGCGGTTCCCCCACCCAGGGCAGCGCTTCGTAGCCTCATAGGGAGCTCCACCGAAGGCCCCAGTGGGGGTGTCCGCGTGCGGTTCCTCCACCCAGGGCAGCGTTCCGTAGCCCCATAGGGAGCTCCACCGAAGGCCCCAGTGGGGGTGTCCACATGCGGTTCCCCCACCCAGGGCAGCGCTTCGTAGCCCCATAGGGAGCTCCACCGAAGGCCCCAGTGGGGGTGTCCCATGCGGTTCCCCCACCCAGGGCAGCGTTTCGTAGCCCCAGAGGGAGCTCCACCGAAGGCCCCAGTGGGGGTGTCCGCGTTCGTTTCCTGCACCCAGGGCAACGTTTCGTTGCCCCAAAGGGAGCTCCACCGAAGGCCCCAGTGGGGGTGTCCCATGCGGTTCCCCCACCCAGGGCAGCGCTTCGTAGCCCCATAGGGAGCTCCACCGAAGGCCCCAGTGGGGGTGTCCACATGCGGTTCCCCCACCCAGGGCAGCGCTTCGTAGCCCCATAGGGAGCTCCACCGACGGCCCCAGTGGGGGTGCCCGCAGGCAATTCCCCCACCCAGGGCAGCGCTTCGTAGCCCCATAGGGAGCTCCACCGACGGCCCCAGTGGGGCTGCCCGCATGCGGTTCCCCCACCCAGGGCAGCGTTTCGTAGCCCCATAGGGAGCTCCACCGACGGCCCCAGTAGGTGTGTTCGCATGCGTCTCCCCTACCCAGAGGTAGCGCCACCGAAAACGATATTCATATTTGCGGTTTTCACAACTTCATATGGTTGGGTCCTTCGCCAGGCTAATTTTTGGGAGCGTCGGATCTCTGGGCTCCTCCCTTCCCCCCCGCGCTCGCCGCCAGCCAGCGAGCACGCCCCCGTGGCCGGAGAAGTCCGCGGCGGCGCCCCCGCCGCTGCGGCGCCGCAGCTGCTGGGAAGGGCGGCCGGCGGCGGCGGCTCGCCGGGCGCAGAGCCCGCCCGCGGGGGGCCAGGCAGCGAGGCGGCGGGCTGCGGCGTAGCCTCCGGGGCGACGCTATCTCGGGTGTTGCCAGAAGTCAGAGGAGGGAATCAAGCAGTGGCGAAGCGTCCTGGCTCGCCCATAGCCCTGCCCTGCCAAACAATGTTCTAAGAACCTTTTGTGGCTTCCACAAAATGTTCTTAGAACATTTCTGGCGGAGAGCGTCTTGTTTTAACACATGGGGTTTATGTTCTAAGAACATTGTTTTTGTTCTAAGAACATTATTGGGTTCTAAGAACATTTCGTGGTAAGACTATAGGAATGCCGGGACGGTCGGTCCCTGTTCAAGGGAAGGGTACCCATACCCCTTTCCTCGTTTACCCCTGTTTGGGTCTCCTCGGAGGCCCTCGTCGCCACCGCTGGATTCGCCTCAAGATCCTGGTTCAGACTGCGCCCCGGGAGGGGTCCGGGGAGTAGCGGTATCGGTACCGCTTGGTTTCCCCAAGATGTGCCCCTGGCCCATGGTGCCCCAGGATTTCAAGCAGGATTTCCAAGGAGGCCCCCACGGCCTCCAGAGCACCCCTCACGAGGCCCAGAGGGCCCAAGGTCTCCAAGAGATTGAGCGAAGAGCTGGGGGGACCTTAGGCCAGGGGCACCTACAGCAACCCCCGATTGTCTGAGGCGGAAGCGGAAGCGGAGGCCGGGCGGGTTAGAACAGCCAGGCTGGTGTCCGTGGTGTCGATCGCCGCGTCCCTAGTTGCGGCCACCTTCGCTTTCGGCATCGCCATCGCGGAGAATGCGCTGCCCCTCGCCGGCTTCGGCGGCGAGTCAATGCTGGATGCCGTATCTCGAAGAAGAAAACACGCCATAAACATAAACTTTTGGCGCTCCGCGCGGATTTCTGGAATCTGCGCTGGGCCCCCCTCCCTGGCGCGCGGAGCGCGCCAGGGGCGGCAACGAAGGCGCCGCAACGGGGGCCCAGCGCGGATCCAGGAAATCCGCGCGGAGCGCCAACAGTTTATGTTTGTCGGCTTTTTCCCTTCCTCTCGTATCTTCCACCTTAGTAGTCTGGCGCTACAAGACGCCGAAGAAACGGCAGTTTGCGGACAGCCAGCAGGCCGCGCAGCGCAAGCTGGAGCGCGACGCCAGGCGAGAGCGAAACAGCTCCCTCGGCATCGGGGTGACCTTCGTGATTCTCGCCGCGCTGCTCCTCGTCTCTGCGGTGGCCAAGCTGGCACTCTACGACCCCGGGAGCCATGCGGCCGCCGAGAAGGAGGGCGCCGACTACGGGGCGATGCTGGCGTGGCCGTCCGCGATCTTCTTCGGGGCCCTGGCCGGCGTCAAGTTCCGGCTCGCGCGCGACCTGGAGAGCCAGGTGCTCCGCAAGGACGCGCTGTGCTCCGCCCTGGGAGCGCTGCTGGCTCTCATCGTGGCCGTGGCCTCGCTGCTGGAAGAGCTCGCCTCCGACAGCCCCGCGAGCATGGAGCTCGTCGACGTGGTCGCTGGGACCATCATCGTTAGACGCTCGTTCTGGGGGGACCTTCCTTCCTCGTGGCCCAGAAAGAGGGTCCAGCTGAAAGGGGGTGGCGCAATGGATTTTGGGCAAGTGTATTGCGCCAGAGGAATGGATTGCATTGTATTGCAGTTAAGTTATTGCACGCGAAAATCAAGCAATACATTTGCGCACCGCAATGTATTGCACACTCCAATTCTATTGCCCCACAAATCTATTGCACCAGATCTATTGCACCACCCCCTTTTCGCTGGAACTGGGGCACACCACGGATCTGTTCGATTCTATCTCGGATGCATCTCGACTCGAGTTCGGCTCTGGCTCGGCCCAGGTTCGGCTCAAGGCGGCGGGCGTTCGACGCAGCGCCGACGCATGAGTGGAACGAGTGGCTTTGTGAAAGGCAGTGCCTGCTAGAGTCAAGAGGAGAGAGAAACAGGCAAAGTACCAACATGGATATGAAGTAGGGTACATTCCAAAGTACCCCCCACCGAAAGTAAGTAGGTACCAAAGTACCCACGAAAGTACCTACGCCGAAAAAAGTAGGTACTAAAGTACCCCCACCATTTTTGAGCAGGCAGTCGCCGAGGCAAACGCCCTAAAATTGGCGAGCGGGGCCGATCGCCAGCCGAAGCTGCACCATGGAAACCACGCGGCATAATAGGTTGGGCACTTGGTGGCGAGGTGTTTGGCACGCGCGCCATCGCGGACAGGCGGGCGGGCGGACCTCAATGGGCGCATCGTTAGGGCGGGACATCTTAGCAGGCGGATGGGCTGTCAGGCAACCGATCGGACGGACACAAACGAGCGGGTCGGGCGGGTCGGGCGGGCAGGCGGGCCGCGGCGGGGGGGGTCGGGCAGGCGGGGGGCGCGAGCCAGCCCGAAAGCAAAGCTCTCTTATGGTAACGTCTCCCTGCTCCTGCTCCTGCTCATCCTCCTCCTCCTCCCCCTCCTCTCCCTCCTCCTCCTCCTCCTTCTCCTCCTCCTCCTCCTCCTCCTCCTCCTCCTCCTCCTGCCAGAGAATCACTTGCTACCGCAAACCCATTGAGAAGGAGAGCCGATGGCTCCAATGTCGCCACATGGGGCTCCGAGAGGTCCCCACTAGAAGCCCCAGAATGACCCAAATAGTGCCCTAGAGTGCTCATGGGGCGCCCCTGGGAGGGACGCGAATGAGACAGATCTGGTCCTGAAGGATCGGCGCGATTGAAATACACCCCGCGGTTGACCGCTGATCTCAGGAATGCCGAGAAATACCCACGCGGCCCCAAGGCGGCCCCAAGAAAGCCCAAGCATACTTCCAGATGCCACCACCAGAACCCCAGAGGACCTCAACTCTGCCCCCCGTGTTCCCCCGACGGGCAGGGGCCTCGTTTGCGTTGCTTTGGGGCGGGGGGGGGCTCTTGGAGTGCGGCTTCGGGGTAATAGAGTCGACGCTCCGCGTATCTCAATCAACCCTTCCTGAAATGATAATCTAGGGTGTCGGAAAAATGGAACGCAGAACGAAATCACGACCTGCCGACCGTGATCGTGCAAGCATCTTTAGGGTGGGAGCTCACTGGTGCCAGGAGAATGGTGAGGAGGACGAGGATGAGGGCGCGAGGGAGGGGTGGCGAGATGAGGTTCGGAGTGCGAGTGCGAGAGTACAGGCGAGAGGATAGGGATGAGGATGAGGGGAGGATGAAAGCGAGAGGGTAGAGAGGATATGGGAATTGCAAAGATACGGGTATGATGGCGAAAATTAGATGTTCCAACACTCTCTCTGGCCAGCGTCGCACGCGCTGATCCCAGCGCCGTAGTGGATGACGTCGGCGCATCGCGCCACTGGGCTGTGCTGTCAGCCCTTGAGCGACGAAAGCTTCGCCGCCCACTCCACGACGTCCGAGCGCACGTAGCTCATGATGTTCGCCTCGATCATCTCCTTCTTGTAGGTGTTCACGACGCGGCGCAGCTTCGGCGGCTGACCGTTGTTCGTCTTGTAGGCGTGGATCAACAGCGCAGTGTACTTCGTGGCGAGGGCCATCTTCAATACGTCATTGGCCTCACTGATGGCCTCGCTGTCTGTCGTGACGTCGAAGGTCTGAGCCCACGACTTCGCCTGCGCCATGGCCTCATTCACCTCATTGATCATCGTCTGGTAGGCACTCCCGTCAATAGTCAAGATGGTCTCCTCAACCCGCTGCAAAACTTTCTCGATGCCCACGCCCTCATTCAGCCCCGTGCCCCATGACTGGTCGTAGGAGTCGGTGCCTTTGGAGAGCGGCTTCAACACATTCGTCTTCTGCTGGAGGGATGCCGTCATCATGTCCGTGCACGCCTGCGCTGCCACATTCATCTCGTCGATCGATGCCTGCAGGTCCACGTTTAAACTGATCACCTCGTGCGCGAAGCCAGCGGCCTGGATAGACAAGATCGTGGAGCGAATGCCCTGCACGACGCGGACCGCGTTGACCTCAAGCAGCCGAGACTTGTCGTCGCCCGCCAATCGTATCCACTCCTCGCGGTGCTGCACGAGCGGGCCCCAGTGCTGGAGCATGACTGTCACCTTGTTGAGCTTGGCCGCATGGTCCTCGACCAACCAATCTGTCTCGGCGAGCTTCAGGAGGATGTGCAGGTACGGGGTCACGTCCTTCGGCTCACCGCAGTTCTTGCAAGCACACTCGTAGATGTGCGAGAAGATGGCGGCGGCGCTGCCCCTGTAGTCCGCAACGCCCTTGCCGCCAGCGGCCAGCACAGAATCGATCACGGGGATCACTCCGTGGCGCTTCTCGGGATTGGTCAGGAACTCCTCGGTCATGGACGTCGCAAGCCGCGAGAGGCCCTGGCAGGCGTTGAACTGGTTGATGTCGCGTTCCCTCCTCTCGATCTGGTCTAACGCTTTCAGCCACAAGGAGAGCTTCTCTGGCAAGCTGGTCTTAGCCATGATGAGCAGCGCCTTCATCTCGGCCAGCCACGCAGTCAGTGCGGGGTCAGCCGCGCCGTCGACACCGTCGCCAAACACGTAGCAGTCGACGTACTCGCCGATCTTCGCGGCCACCTTGAGCTTGAAATTGTCGAAGGACCCTGGCCGACAATACGTCACGACATTCGGCAGCATCTCGAGCGCGGCCTTCAGAGACCCAGACTGCACCACCGCGTTGATGTCCGAGCCAGCGTCCAGCGTCGACATCGTCTTCATCATCACGGGGAAAAGCTCATTCGTCTTCGGGTAGAACTGGTCGAACTCTTCCTATGCCGAAGCCCACCACGTTGGAAACAACTCGCTGGGGGGCAGGCCCGCGCATGTCGAGGCTGTCGCGAGGGGCGACGGAGCGGAGGCGAACTGGGCTCCGAGCTGGGCGCGAAAGGATGGCGAGGGGCTCTATGATGGACGGGTCGGCCATTGGGGCGCGCGCGAGGGGGGGGCAGAAACCAATCAATGCACGCCGCCCCAATGGCCGCCCCGTCCACTACCCAGGCACCCCGCACATCCACACCCCACTCGAGGCCCACCTGGATCCCCTCCGCCCCCAACTCCTCTCCGGTCACTCCCCCCACCCCTCGCCCCCGCCCTCGCTAGAAACAAATCGCACGGAGAACCTCCTAGCCCCCCCCCGCCCAACTGCCGCACCCCCGACATGCGCGGACAACTGCCCTCGGGCGTTTAACGTGGGCTTGGCCTTGGGAGCAGTGTAGTGCGTCGAGCGCTTCACGGCCAAGTTCAGGTGGCGCAAGCACACCTTCCCAAGCTCCGACGATCTGGCATCCGTCATTGTCGTGAGCGCGTCGCTGTACTCCAGGCACATGGGGTCTGCGATGCACAGCAGCGCTTGCAAGCGCGTAGTCATCGACGAAACGAGCTCGTCGAAGGTCTCATCGTCAGGGCACTTGTCGTCGAGCCAGTCGAGGCACGTGCTGCAGAACGCGACAAGCTTGGACTGCCCGCCCCTGCCAGCCTGGATGTGGTAGGCCAGCGCCTCCGAAAAGAACCCTTCGCAACTGGACATCTTGTCCGAGACGCTACCGTCGCAAGTGATGACCCTTGGGCGCGTCGGCTTGAACTTGTAGTCAACGTTGCCATCTGGATGACTCACCTCCCATGGCGCGATGATGTAAAAGAAATCGTTCATGTCCATGTCGGGCAACTTGATCGTCTCTGTAACCTTCGAGGCAACGCCAGGGGGGTCGGCGTCCGAATCGAAAGCTCGGCTGGGCCCGCGGAGCGGAGATGAACACCGCCCTGCGCGCTCGACCGATTGCTGCCTATGACCCACCCCCAGCGTGAACCACTGACCTTCAGCTTCAGCACGTCCATCTTCCACTTGCTCGGCATATCCTCGTCGCCCTTCTCGATGGCACAGAGGAGGTCCTCGAGCTTTTGCTTCGGCACGGTCGCGATGGGCTTCTCGACGAGCCCGCAGATCGCGTCGCAGACCGAGATGTGCTCACGTAGTTTGTCCGCGGTCTCTGAATCTTGCACCGTGGGATTCGACTCCATGATGCTCGCATGCGACTCCTTGGCCCAGCGAAGTTCGCGGCCCATGGCGACGCCTGACCAGCACCTGTTCACGCCCAGAGCGGCAATGCGACGATCGACGAGCTCCTCCACTTCGGACTGCTTTGCCTCGGACACCGCCGACTTGGCTGTGCGGGGCTTCGCTCCTGGGGTCCTCGGCACACCGCGGCCGCCCTCGCCCGTGAAGACGGTCCGCGAGCAGGCCATCGCCGTCGGGTTCAGCATCGGGCCAGCCGAAACAGCAACAGCTCCACCAAGCTGCGACCCAGCAGCCGCTTGGGCACCGCTCGGGCTGCCGAACTGGCTCGAGTCGTGCTCCTCGGCAAGCTGGCGCGCCACCTTGAGCTCCTCTTGCGCCTTCCTGTAGGCATCCCCCTTCAACCTCAAGGACTCCAAGGTATGATTATCCGTGCGCGCCTTCACGCAGACGGTCTTCATCTTGCTCTCCTGCGCAATTGCCTTAGAGGGGTCCACTGCGCAACTCGCGCAAGGATGCCCGACAGCGCCCCTGGCCCCGATCGCTACCCCCATCCCCTGAACGAAGGGGGGGGATGGGGAAGGGAGGAGCGGGCGGAGTAAGAGGGGGGGACAAGGTGACGAGGGAGGAGGGTGGGGAGGACTAGGACGACAAGAAAGATATGGAAGAGGGTCAAGAGAATATGCACCAGCAATTAGCAGGGCCAGGTCCAGAAGGGGGAGGAGGATGAGCGGCGGGAGAAATGCCCAACAACCAACACGGCTGGCTGAGGAACGATAAAGAAGGTAGAGGGGGCGAAGGCCGCTGTCGGACACTTAAGCGTGAGTGGCCCAGTGTTCCACCGCACCGATCCTTCTTCACGTACGCGAACGTGCCCGCAGACTGCGCCTCGAACATCTGCTGGGACGGCACCATCTTGTGCGCGGCCATCTTGGCGACGACTTGGGTGGCCACGTCGTACTCCAGGTACGGGCGGTTCGGGTTGGGTATCAAGATGCCTTTGTAGCAGTTCCCCTCGTGGTCGGGCAGGTCCTGCAGCTTGATGCCCAGCTTCTCGGGGTCATCGTGGAGCACGTCTGCCACGAGCTGCGCGCGACTCAAGCCGACCATCGGCTTCACGACCGAGACGATGAACTCTGTCCCCTCGTCGACGGACGTCGGGAAGAACTGCCCGCGCTCGCCCGCCTCGGTTCGCTTGGCTTCCTCCCAGCAGTCGTGGATGTGCGAATCCTCGTCCTGCACGCCCAGCTGGACTACCTCCAAGGAGCCGAACTGGGTGAAGCCCTTGGAATACCTGTCGAAGCAGGCGGTGCAGGACGGCACCGTCGTGTCCCTCATCTTCTGCTCGGTGTCGGTGCAACCACACGTGCCGCACTCGAAAGCGGACGAGAACGCAGCCAACGAGAGCTGGGGTTGGGAGTGCACGTCGTCTCCATCGCCGCCGCCGTTGCCACTCTTCCTGCGCTTGCGGGCGGCTCCGGCTGTCCTCGGCAACGGTGGTTGAGTGTCGGCCTTCTGGCCGCGCTTGCCCATGGCAAGGTCGCTAGAGAGAGTGACGGTGTGTCAGTGCTCACACTGGGCCCGTCGAACTACAAACAGGAGTGTGCTCGAATCCTGTCGCGAATTTGAGCCAAAATGGCACTGTGGGGCAACTGAGGGTGAATGGGGATCACAACATGGGCCGACCAATGGGGAGGGCGGCGGTCGCCTGTCTGGAACGGCCACTACAGCGCCACCGACCACACAGCGAGAACCCCAGGTCTCGTCGGACGGCCCATCGATGCAACGCAGGGCGGGGAGGCGGGAGAACGGCGAGCGATGGGATAAACACAGAGTGGCCGTTTGTTAGCGGAGCTCCTTATAGGGCAACGAGCTGTGCGGGAGGTGCGCCACCTTGCACGCGGCCTCACATGTGAGCCATGCCATTGGAACATTCGGTGGAACTATATATAAGGACAGTATTCCCCTTCGGGAGCGGGGGCGCTCCTCCGCCTACCCCCGCCCCCCTGGGTCTGGACGAAGGGCCCCGCCAGATGTAATGGGGTAGTTGGTGGCCCAATATGGCTCCGAGAGGGGCCCCGATGGCCAGAGATGGTCTCCAGAGGATCGAGCGCGATAGCCCACGATTGCTCCAGGTACTTTCGAAAGTGTCCCCAAGAGGCCCAACGCCATTCCAAATGTGGCTCCAACTAGGCACGGGGCCACCCAAGAGATACACAGAACGGGCAAAAGGTCGTACAGAGGACCAGGTGATACTCGATGGTTCGACTCCGATCGACTCAGGTGGCTTCGAGATGGCCCCAATAAAACCCAGGAGGACACTTGAGAGGCACAAGAAAGCGCACAGGGCGGCTCCAAGGGCGTCCAGGAGCGCCCTGAGATCACCCCAACGCAGCCCCCAATAGTGGATAATTCGAGCCCTACTGTTGAGGGGGAGGAAGCACAACTCCTGGTTTGATCGGCTGTCCCCGAGTGAACCCCAGAGCCCTTGACATTGCACCGAGAGGACACCAATATGGCCCCAAGAGAACCACGAGAGAATGCACAAGACGTCCGTACTAACACTTTATTTGTTCCAAGAGGCTATCCGAGACTTATTTCGACCTTTGATGCCCATCTTATTAGCTATGCGATGGGCAAGATAGCAACTCGTCCATGCAACTCACTTGGGCATCGTATCTGGATGGGTTGGCGGGGGCGCCCAACGCTGGTAGGGAGGGTGCCCAACGCGCGCATGACACCAGCCTGGTCCTCAACCGCCTCCTCTCCACCGTTCCTTCAGTTAACCCTCCTCCACTCCCAAGTCGGTTCCTTACCACCGATCCCCGCTCATCCTTCCGCCCTTCGACCTCCCCCCTCCACCTCTCCTGGCCTCACCCCCTCATCTCCCCCCGCGCCCTCTTCCAGCGCGAGCGCAGTGCACGCGCGGGGCGCGGGCCTGCTGCGACCGCCGCGCGGACGTCGTCCACGGTGGCGGCGCCCGCGTGGCGAGGCAGGCGCGGGCGGGCAAGACAGACGCAAGCGGAGGATGACGACGACGCCGATTGTGACGACGCTACCACGCTCGAGGGCGACCCGAGAGGAGGTTGCGAGGACCTAGCGAAGGACGGAATGGACGAACGAGTTGTGGAAGTGCCGATAAGAGGGAACTCAGTAAGGTGGAGGGGAGAGGACAGTAAATTACTATATGACGAAGCGGTGGAAGAGGGGGAGCAGGCGGAGGCACGTTCAACCAAACAAACATGGTAGCAGAGCGGCGAACGGATGAGGCGAATGTGAGGAAGAACTTTACGAAATGGAGGAGGTGGAGGAGGGAGGGAAGAGGACGGGTGATGAGGATCGGCAAGATGAGTGGCGGTGGAGGGCGAGAAAGAGGGGGCAGGGGGGGACGGGGAAGGGAATCGCGAGAAGGAAGGAGGGGGGCGGGCTTGTAATGGAGGACGGTTGGTTTTCAGCGGCATCTAGCCGCGACCCCTCGACGGCCAGCACGGTCGCGCCAGGAGGCGTCGCACGAGTCAGGCGGCCACTCGACCGCACACCCCAGACTGCGTCAAGCGACGCTCGAAGCAAGAAATTGTTCACACTTGCGCGCCGATGGTGCGCCAGCAACGAAGATGCACGCGAAAATCCACATGCGAGGACTCACATAAAAGGGTGCAGCTGCCTCATCATAACATTCATCCCGCCCCCTTCCCTCATCGTTGGCGTGGTCATTGACCCCCCCGTCATCATCGTCGTCCCCCTCTCTGTCATCATTGAGGCGCTGCTGCCTTGGCAACTGCACCAGCGACTCGCTATTGCTCCGTGCCCTCGGGGTCACGCACAACCTGGCTGGCAGATGCAAGTTGGTGGCCGAGCTGGTCAAACACGCAGCCATGCGAATCGTCGGCCACGTCAATCCAGCCCCGTCTCTCAAGCGCCAGGGCGGCCGCACTCTCGCTGTAACCGCTCGGGGCTGGTCCGCCAAAACTTGGCTTCAAGATCCAACGACGCTTGCTCTGAGGAGGCACGATTTGCCCGAACGCTGGGTCCGAGCTTTTCGCAGGCGTCTCCGAGGCGGGCGAAGTGACACCAAACTTTGCGGGCGTCTTCGCACCAACGCTGCTGTCGAGACGGCTGGCATGCTCGGCTGACATCGGCAGATCTGCCTGGGCCCCCCTCTTCCTCTGAGGGCTATCCTCAACTAAAACGCAAACTGCATGTGTGTCGGCCTCTGGGACCGCACGCTTCGGCGCCGACGGCTCTGGCGGCGTGTTGGCCACCGCGCTCGCCGCGGCGCCCGCGGCAACCTCGGCGCAAGATGCCCCCGGCGGTCCCCCCTCAGGGTCGCCGTCGGCAGCGCCCGAGCCACGCTTCGGAGGAGCAATCCACCCAGAAGGCGCCAGTTGGCCAAGGTGCGGCCGAACTTCCTCGGCGCCCTCGTCAGCTGGCAGGCAGGCCCGCGGCGCAACGCCGTTCTCGGCGTCATAGCACGCTTGCTCTGCTCGCCAGCCCGAGTCGAAATGTGACAGCTCCTGGGCGCTCAAAGACAAAGGGGGCTTAAAATTGTTGTGCTCATCCTCTGGCCCAGCCTGCTTGTCGCCGTCTGTCTCCTGACGGTGGCCCTCCGAGCAAACAGAAGAAACTTCGGTCGGCGCGGGCGGGTCGGAGTACTGAGGTCCAATGATGAGGATAGTACAAGGGATCGTTGCCTCGACCCGTTGCTCGTAGCTCGTGGGTTTGGTGGGGTCTGTGACAACTAGGTTGAGGCTCCCCGTCAACTGGAACTCCATTGGCGCCAGCACACTTCACCTGACAATGGTACGCCTTCGAAATGCGCGCGTGCTACAACTAGCTTGGACCAGATGGCGGCTCTGACCACGAGGATAGAATGCACATGACAGGGGCAACGCGTAATTGTGGCGGTGCGTTTTGCAGTGAATGAGCAGCGCCGAGTGGTGATGGTAGTTGATTTCTGTAGAATTTCATGCGTTAGCCAGCGTGGGCCCCAAAGGGCCCATTATTGCAACAGGCGCGGTGCAATATACGTGGTGCTGTGTATGCGATGCAACCCGTGTAATGCAAACTTTGCGGTGCAATTCAACGTGCTGCTATAGATGAGATGCAGCCTATGTGTTCCAGTAAATGCAGCGCCTTTGTGGTGCAATGTATGCCATGCGACCTACGTAGTGCAATATACGCGGTACAACCTATGTGGTACAATGTATGCGGTGCATCCGACGTAATGCAGCTTATGTTGTGCACTCTACGTGGTTCAGTGTATGATATGCACCCGATGTAATGCAATATTTGCGGTACGTTCTATATGGTAATAATGTATGCCATGCATCCTGTGCGTTGCAGCTCATGCTTTGCACTCTGCGGTGCAATGTAGGCGTTGCAGCCTACGTGATGCAATATGTGTGCGGTGTGCGTACGAGAGGCAACCTGTGTGTTGCAATGCGTGTGGTGCAGTCTATGTGGTGCCATCTGTGCGATGCAGCCTATGCAATGCAGTCTACGCGGTGCCATCTACGTGGTGCAATGTCCGCGACGCAACCTATGAAAAGCAACCTACGCGTGGTGCAATGCACGCGGCGCAACCCATGTAGCGCAACCCGTTGGGTGCAGCATGCGCGGTGCAGTGTAAGTGGTGCAACATACGTGACGCAGTCGACGCGGCGCAGTCTGTGCGGTGCAATGCATGCGACGCAGACCGCGCTATGCAATATACGCGGTGCAATGCGTGCGATGCGGCGGGCGGCGGCGGGCGGCGACGGGCGGCGCGGGTGGCGACGGGCGGAGATGGCGGCGACTGGCGGCGACGGTGGCGGGCGGCGGCGGGCTGCGACCGGCGGCGCGGGCGGCGACGGGCGGGGGCGGCGGCGGCGGGTGGCGGCGGCGACGGGCGGCGACGGGCTGCGACGGGCGGCGCGGCTGCGATTTTGCTGCGATGACCCCGAGGCGACGGCGGCGGGCGGCGACGGACGGCGCGGGCGGCGACGGGCGGCGGGGCTGCGACGGGCGGCGACGGCGGCGGGCGGCGGCGGGCGGCGACGGACAGCGCGAGCAGCTACGGGCGGGGATGGCGGCTGCGGGCGGCGGCGGCGACGGGCGGCGACGGGCGGCGGCGGGCGGCGCGGCCGCGATTTTGCTGGGGGGCGGGGGGCGAGATGGCCAACGCAAACACGAACCCCTACATTCAAGTACTTGCCCGAACAAGAATTCGGGCGGCGGCGGCGCGCGGCGCTGCAGGCGGGCGCAGCGATTGCGCAGACAGCGGTGGCGCGATTCCCCTTGGCGAAGGAGGCGGGGCGGCGCTCGCCCCAATAGCGGCGCGCGTTGCGCCGCTGCCCCTTGGGCGATGCGCCGCGGGCCCGCGCGCTTCCACGCGCGGCGCGCTTGCGCGCGCTCCCCGAGCTCTGGGCGCCACGGCTGCAGCGCGGCGCCCTGCCCATGCCCGATGGAAAAAAAAACGCCCGTCGCCCTGGCAGCGCGCGCCAATCCTTGCCGCGCGCCGCAATTCCGACGCCGCGCTGGCGCGCGCCACCGCC